GCGACATCTACATGACGGGATACCAGGCTCCTCGGTTCGGTGATGCGCTTGTCATTGCGGCAGTCGCTTTCTACTTTGTCTCCTTCCTCGCCCTGCCCTGGATCGTGCCCGGTTCTTCCATCTGGAGTATCCTCACTGCTTATTTCCCCGGTGGACCGGAAATGTTCCGTTGGACCGTCAAGCTTATTTTCTACCCTGTGCTTGCCATCCATTTGATTGAGCCCATGGTGCTGGATGTGACGAGGCTGCAGAAGCATGGTGTGGATAGGTGGTCTGGCCAGTGGTGGATGTGGGTAGTGAGTTGTTTCTTTGAGGGCATCATGGTGTTTAAGAGGTTTGATCGCGTGATTGCTGAAAAGAGGGCCCAGAAGGAAGCGAAGAAGCACTAGGTAAGAGCCTGTATAGGAGGTGGCTGATGGGGACATGGATTATGTTCGTGAACATGTCCACGCTTGACTCCCTTAGAGGTGCTCTGTAGCTAATACTCCGTCGTAGTGGCCACGAATGGACATGGGACTGAATGTATGCCGGTCTCAAGCTGCGTCATTTCCGGCCGCCGTTGAAGCGATTTCCCACTCGCGAATCCTTCAAGGCGATGGATACTCTATAATTAACCTGGCTGCCAGCTCGGAAAAGCCAGGAAAAAAGTTGCTGATGATGTGGCAGAATGGCCTTGTCACAAGAACGGAGAGACTTGTCAGAATGGACCGCATTTGGGCTGTGATGACAATCCTTGTGTGTGTTGGGGTGATGCAGCTTAGACGAATACATCCTTATCATCCTGGGCGTCTGTTTCCTTTCCGCTCCCCATGATTGCGGTATCAAGGCGAACGATCGGGTCGTTTTGAGGGAAATTAAGAGAAAGCTCACGACGCTTCTAGTTAGACAGCGAGGCACAGCCATGTCAATGCCAAGGCGATTCGACGAGCAATCACCACGTTTCTGCTAAGAGGCGAAATCCATGTGTGCTTCGTTAAGCTCAAACGACTCTGTACCATCAACATCGACATATCACATCCATGAGCATTCCACCAACGCCACCAACACACGTGTAAGGCGACCAGGACAAACTCATCCGTTGATGACCAACAGCGCCTACCCACTCCATTGACCACTCGGGCCAAATGGCTTTCATCCAAAATACTCACATCCCCGTGCTCAAAGCCACGCCCAGGTACAAAATTCGTCCTGATTGGCCGCTTATCCCAAGTTGGGCTGTGCCATTACGCCGCGCTGACCGGGGCGCTGCCTATAAACGGAACAACACACTCTGGCTTGAAGGATCACCCGCCAAAAAGAGGTCCCAACGTCAGCGAACAGCCAGTACAGCCCTAACGGCGACAGCTTGGTCCGTACGCCAGAATAATTCCATTTGGTAAGAAACAGCCCAATTCAGCCAATCGGCGACCGTGCCTGGTTTATTCGTCCAAGCTTTTAAGTTTCCTGGGACGTAAGGCTGGATGGGGCGCCGACGGCCACGCTTGTCGGCTTACACGCGGTATGTGGAATCTGAGAACGTCATGAGATGGGGACAGAATAAAAATAAGTATTCAAGGTTGGGACAGCATTGTAAGACACGTTGGAGGAATATATAAAGAGGCTGCTATCCTCGCTGCCAGGTCCTTTTCATCATCCACTTCAACATTCAGCAAGCTCACTACTACAGCCGTCTACACATCCCAATATACAACATACAAATATTCCCATCTCCTCACAAGAGCATCACACAAAGATCCAAAACAAAATGTCTCTCAAAGCCATCGCAACCCTCCTTCTGGCGGCCGCCGTCTCTGCCGCCCCAGCACCCAGCAACACCTCCCCCAGCGACGCCACCAAAACCACCACCCTCACGGGAGTAACACACTCCGTTGTCGCCGGCCTCGGCGGGCTCAGATTCGACCCAGACAACGTCGTCGCCGAGATTGGGGACATTGTGGAATGGCACTTCCTCCCCCTGAACCATTCTCTTGTGCAGTCCTCCTTTGCCGAGCCGTGCAAGCCCCTCGCCGACGGGACCGGCTTCTTCCCCGGCTTCGAGTTCGCCACGAAGCAGGGCCAGGCGCCCAACGTCTTCCAGCTCCAAGTCAAGGACAAGAAGCCCATTTGGTATTACTGCCCCCAGCAGACGGGCAGCCATTGCCAGCAGGGCATGGCCGGCGTCATCAACCAGAACTTTGATTATCCCGATGTCAGCCTGAGGAGGTACAAGGAGGTGGCGGCTTTGACGGGCACGAGCGTCATCCCCGCGGTGAATAACGTTGGCAAGGTCATTCCTAACCCCAATCCGAACGGCGGGTTTTAAAGCATACAAAGCGGCGGGATGTGACGTGTTTAGATGCATGGCGTGATAGAGGTGGATGTGGCATTTCCCTCCCCCCCCTTTTTGCTGGAATTCGGGACTTTGCGATGTTGAGCTTTGCGTTGGTGGAATTTATTTACTGTGCGTATTTCTTGTGCTGCAGAGCGAGTATCTAGACTTTGGCCATTCATTAGACTCTATACTAGACGACGTTGTATTTAAATCCAGCCTACAGAGTCGCTACGAGTAGCATTTTTTGAGAAGTGGTGCTCAGCGGAATTGCTCAGTCGTTGTCATATTCAGCTAAACAACAAAAGTGTTGAAACCCACATACCTGATAAAATAGACACTCGAACCGTCGGTGAACACCTTGTTGAAGTCGCTCTGACATTTCACCCAAAGCATCACATATCATCAACGCCCCGGACCTCGCGATCGCCAACCTCTTCGCCAAACATCTAAACATAGAAAGACTTACTCCTATAGCATATTAAAGTCTCGTCACACGTCACCCCTGAAAAGGCAGTCCACCGTGAATGCGTCAGCAGCATAGCCTCGGGCACAAATGCTCCGGACCCCTGTACGAGACCTTTCCTTTCAAGCCCAACCCCCAAAAACTGCTCCCTCTACACACTCGTCAACTGACAAGTTATCTTGTGTCTTGAAGGGATCTGGTTTGGCAGACACAGCTGCTAAATGCTTTCCAGAATTCTGTTTACAAGAGACTTGCTTGCTTACACTGGAAGTAGGCTGCCATTTACGTGGCTCCGGGCTCCAATATCTGGAAACACACGCATGGGTTCTGGGCTTATTTTTCGACCTCCTATGCGCAAGGTCTTATACCTCCAGAAACATTCTGCGTGCAATCATCACATGGTGGTGCTATGGCAAGTATTCCACCACCGACATCGTCTTGAAAGAAGTGCCTTTTGCGTGAGAGTTTGTGCATGGACCGCGGCCCGAGTCGACTGAGGATACCAAACCCCCCCCAAAAGGCGGGAATGAACGGTGAGTAATCTCACGTCAGCCGTCTGGACTGCAATTTTTCTGCCTGTTTGCGGCATACGGAGCAGAGGCCCCCAAGCCAGGGGCTCAGGCGTGTGTTCTGGCGCCGCGCCATGCACCAAGATACGTTGCCTGGCGACAAGACGATAGAGGAGCAGGACATGTCTGTCTGACTTTCGCAGTTGACTTGCTTGAGTACATGTCGGGCGAGGCAGAATCACCGACCAGACGGTGATGGGAAGTGACTTGGGGGGAATACATCTCGTAAAGATGCTCACCGATCTTGACTTGCAACTTTATTTGTCGCCTTGTTGCTATGCTACCCGAACGAAAGAATGGAGTATGTGAGGAATGGGCGTAGAAAAGGAAGAGGGAAGAAGAGTGAGATATATCCACACTGGTTGAGCCAATTTCCACCCAAGACGCAACCCGTGGCACTCTTCTTTGTAGCGGTTGAGCTTGGCAACCCCATCTAGTGACGCCGAGAAGTGCACTCTTACAAGTTTAGCCCGTACATCCTTTTTATTTTATTTTATTTTATTATTATTTTTTTTTTTTTTTAAAAAAAAACT